TGGATGGATGGATGGATGGATGGATGGATGGGGGTGGGGGGTGGATGGATGGATGGGTTTGGATGGATAGATGGTACCATCCATCCAACCATGTCTGCAGAGACAGAAGGAACAGCTGAGGACCAAGCGGTGCTGGCACATGCTGCTAAGCTGTGAAGACATCTCCACATGGTTTCAACAGGACTGGATTTGAGCAGACAGATCCTGCCTACCCCCTCCCTCCCCCTTTCGCGGGTCTGTACTAACTTGGTCGCCTGGGTTTTGGAGGTGTTGGTGGGGGGGCTCTCCTTGTCTTGTCTGATGGCGGGGTGGGTATGGACTGAGGTACTACCTGCACTGGAGAGCCAGGAGAAGGAGTGCTCTGTGAAACTGAAGGAACAACAGTGATGGCACATTAGGCAGAATGAGGAAAGAGACCTCCAGCCCAGCAGGGGGCAGCACCACCTAAGGTGGAACAAACCCGTAGGAAAGGTCATGGTAAACTGCTTGTACTTGATAAAGCACCATCTAGGGTTCTACAACCACCCAAGGCACTTTACAACACAACTAGTCATTCACCCAGTCACACACACACATTCATACACTGATGACGGAGAGCTCTATTGCTGCAACACCTGCCCTGAGACGCACTACCAGATGCCACTGGTCTCACCCCCTGAGGATTAAGTGGCTTGCCCAAGGACACAAGCACTGTAACAAACGGGCTCGAGTTAAGGGGTGGGCACTCAACTCCTCTGCCACCATCGCCCAGGTCTGTCTCACAGAGACCGCACAGATTCAACACAGTTAGGTGGAAGAAGAGACCTACATCTACAGACAGAATCAGTCCTGTTCTGATTCGGAAAAGCAGAAGGTCCAGAAGTGTCTGATGAAACCTTGAAGTCCTGGGCCCTCATTTGTGTGGTATTTACCAGTCAGTACTTGTGCGTGAACATGTTCCTACACCTGAGAACATCTGACCGCGTGTAGGAGCAGCATCTAGTAGTAGAAGGGGGAACAGCAGGACTGAAGTCTCAGTCATCCAATTAGATTTACCCAGTAAGTAGTTACAGCCAGGTCCATAAATATTGGGACAATGCTAACGTTTTTGGCTCTATACACCACAACGGATATCAAATGAAATGAACAAGATGTGCTTTAACTGCAGACTGTCAGCTTTTATTTGAGGGTATTTACATCCAAATCAGGTGAACGGTGTAGGAATTACAACAGTTTCATAAGTGCCTCCCACTTGTTAAGGGACCAACAGTAATGGGACAGAATCAGAACCATAAATCAAACTTATACGTTTCAATACTTGGTTGCAAATCCTTTGCAGTCAATTACAGCCTGAAGTCTGGAACACATAGACATCACCAGACGTTGGGTTTCATCCCTGGTGATGCTCTGCCAGGCCTCTACTGCAACTGTCTTCAGTTCCTGCTTGTTCCTGGAGCAGTTTCCCTTCAGTTTTGTCTTCAGCAAGTGAAATGCATGCTCAGTGGGATTCAGGTCAGGTTACTGACTTGGCCATTGCAAAACAGTCCACTTCTTTCCCTTCAAAAACTCTCTGGTTGCTTTTGCTGTATGCTGTATGAGTGATCACTGAGCCAAGGCTGTGTTCCATCTTACTTTAAAAATGCAGTAGTGACTCCTCTCTTAAAGAAACCCAACCTTGACGCCAGCTCCACCAGTAACTTTAGGCCCATTTCTAAGCTACCTTTCATCAGCAAAGTACTTGAGAAGGTTGTTGAAACCCAACTCAGATCCTGGTTTTCTAAGTCAAAGATCTCTGACCCCTTCCAATCTGGCTTTCTGAAGCAGCACTCAACTGAGACTGCTCTAGTAAGGGTGCATAATGACCTCCTGATGGCTGCTGATGCAGGGAAATGCTCTGTCATGGTCCTGCTCGACCTCAGTGCAGCTTTTGACACTGTAGACCACAACGTTCTACTAAACAGGTTAAAGGCCCTGGCTGGGATTTCAGGTTCTGCTCTAGACCGGCTCTCTTCCTATCTCACAAACAGAACATTCACAGTGAAGTCAGAAACCTTCTCTTCAGACACTGCCTCTCTAACATTTGGGGTTCCACAAGGTTCAGTTCTAGGGCCTCTGCTATTCACATTCTATATTCTTCCCCTAGCTGGCATCATTCAGTCTTTCCCAGACATCTCCGACCACATCTATGCTGACGATATACAGCTCTATATGTCCTTCATGCCACACCAGTTGGACAGGCTGGCCACCCTTGTACTCTGCCTGACCCAGATCAGTAACTGGCTGTCCAGCAACTTTCTTGTCCTCAATGCTAACAAGACAGAGACCCTGATCGCCGCACCCCCGGAACTTCAGCCAGAAATCGAGCAGGAAATTGCCTCTTTTTGCCCATCAGCCAAGGCCAACATTAGAAACCTAGGAGTTATTTTTGATCCAGCTCTAAGTTTAGACTCACACGTAAAAACCATCTCCCGCTCTTGTTTCTTCCAACTGAGAAACATTTCAAAAGTCCGTAAACTGGTTTCTACTGCAGATCTGGAAAAAATCATCCATGCCTTTGTGTCATCACGCTTAGACTACTGTAACACTCTTTTTACTGGTCTCAGCAAAACCTCCCTCTCACGCCTTCAAACCATCCAAAATGCAGCAGCCAGACTCCTAACCAAATCCAGCAGACGAGCTCACATCACTCCAGGTTTACAGTCTCTCCACTGGCTCCCGGTAAAATATAGAATTCAGTTTAAAGTTTTAGTCCTGACCTACAGAGCTCTTAACAACCAGGCTCCAAGCTACCTATCTGAGCTTTTATCCCCACACACCACCTCTCGGAACCTTAGATCCACATCTGAAAACCTCCTGGCTGTTCCTCGAACCAGACTGAAAACCAAAGGGGGCGGGGCCTTTCAGACTATTGCACCCAGACTTTGGAACAGTCTACCTTCAAATCTCCGTCTCTCTAACACTGTAGAGGTCTTTAAAAATCATCTAAAAACTCACCTTTTCATCCAGGCGTTCCCTCCCTAAATGTTTCAGAATGATGGCTTTGTTCGGGTTCACACCTTCACTTTGTTTATACTCATGATTTAATTTTCTACTTAATCACTGCTATTGTTTTTCTGATGTTTTTATTGGTTAGAGGTATTTGCCCTGATCTTTATCATGTTGTACAGCGCTTTGTGATTTATATCTGAGAAAGGCGCTCTATAAATAAACTTTTACTTACTTACTTTGGGTCATTGTCCATCTGCACTGTGAAGTGCCGTCCAATGAGTTCTGAGGCATTTGGCTGAATATAAGCAGATAATATCGCCTGAAATACTTCAGAAGTCATCGTGCTGCTTTTGTCAGCGGTCACATCATCAATAAATACAAGAGAACCAGTTCCACTGGCAGCCATACATGCCCACGCCATGACACTTCCAGCACCATGCTTCACTGATGAGGTGGTATGCTTAGGATCATGAGCAGTTCCTTTCCGTCTCCATACTCTTCTCTTCCCATCACTCTGGTACCAGTTGGTCTTTGTCTCATCTGTCCGTAGGATGTTGTTCCAGAACTGTGAAGGCTTTTTAGATGTTTGGCAAACTAATCTGGCCTTCCTGTTTTTGGGGGCTCACCAGTGGTTTACGTCTTGTGGTGAACCCTCTGTATTCACACTGGTGGAGTCTTCTCTTGATTGTTGACTTTGACACAGACACACCTACCGCCTGGAGAGTGTTCTAGATCTGGCCAACTGTTGTGAAGGTGTTTTCTTCACCAGGGAAAGGATTCTTCCGTCATCCACCACAGATGTTTTCCGTGGTCTTCCGGGTCTTTTGGTGTTGCTGAGCTCACCGGTGTGTTCCTTCTTTATGAGAATGTTCTGAACTGTTGTTTAGGCCATGCCTAATGTTTTTGCCATCTCTCTGATAGGCTTCTTTTGTTTTTTCAGCCTAACGATGGCTTGCTTCACTGACAGTGACAGCTCTTTGGATCTCATCTTGACAGTTGACAGCAACAGATCCCAAATGCAAATAGCACACTTGAAATGAACTCTGGACCTTTTATCTGCTCATTGTAATTGGGATAATGAGGGAATAACACACACCTGGCCATGGAACAGCTTAGAAGCCAATCGTCCCATTAATTTTGGCCCCTTAACAAGTGGGAGGCACATATGAAACTGTTGTAATTCCTACACCGTTCACCTGATTTGGATGTAAATACCTCAAATAAAAGCTGACAGTCTGCAGTTAAAGCACATCTTGTTGGTTTCATTTGATATCCGTTGTGGTGTATAGAGCCAAAAATGTTAGCATTGTCCCAAATATTTATGGACCTGACTGTTCGTTGGTGGAAAACAGCTTTTGAGCATTATTGGTACTAAAACCAGTAAAAGACACGTGTGCCCGACGGGAATCTGACATCATGACTGATCTGTTATTGGAGGATTTAGCAGAGCGTGCTTTCTGGAGGGAACATTTCTCCGTGAGGGAGAACTCCTTCTGCTGTGCTGGGATTTGGGACTTTTCGTGACGCGACGGACAAACCTCACGAGTCCGATTCCAGTTCATCTTTCATTTTAAAACTACGAGAACCCCCCAGAGCCTCCTCCTGCTCCCCGGTCATACATGCCGCGTTGCCAAGGCAACCAGACTGAATGACAGCTCAGAAGAGGCTGAGGCCACCGCATGTTTCATAAATCGGGATTTTGACCGTTCATACGAACATTCCAATTTTTGGTCATAGGAGGGAATATAGGACCGTTTCTACGAACGTTTGATAAATGAGGGCCCTGGCCTCTTTGGAGATAAAAAATGATCATTAAATTATTATTATTATTATTATTATTGTTGTTGTTATTATTATTATTGTTGTTGTTGTTGTTGTTGTTATTATTGGTTTGAATAATGATTTAAAACATTTGAATTCCCTCTAGGATTATTTAGGTGTTTTTCCATTTGAACTTGAAGTAAAGCCGATTCCAAGTTTCAGGTCCAGATGTGACGTACACAAGGCCGTGCATTTGTCCACAGCCTGGTTCGTCCGCGTGCCAAAGGTTAACTTTCTGGCCAAGTTGTGTTGGCCTGACGCCAGGAGGAGGCCATCATGAACTATCTCCTGATTCATCTGTATCCTTATCCTTGTAACAAGACATCTCTACAGGAGAGACTTTTATCTAACTCCATTTTTATAAAAATATCTTATTCTGGTTCATAAAATAATTCTTTACTTTACAGGTTGAGAACAATTACATTAAACAATAAATGTTTATATAAAGTATTTTAATAATGTCTCGACCGCTTTGCATTAATGGATGAATTCAATTCAGTTTATTTATAAATGACGACCAGAGTCGTCTCAAGGACCTGCACACAGTAACCAGCACAGGTCAGGTCAATAAGCCAATCAGTAACAAGTTTCCTACATAAGGAACCCAGCAGGTTGCATCAAGTCACTGACTAGAGTCAGAGTCTATACAGCCATCCTCATACTAAGCAAGCATGCAGCAACAGTGGAGAGGAAAACTCCCTTTTAACAGGAAGAAACCTCCAGAGGATCCTGGCTCAGTATAAGCAGCCATCCTCCACGACTCACTGGGGATGGAGAAGACAGAGCACACACACACACACACACACACACACACACACACACACACACACACACACACGCGCACACACACACACACACACACATACAAACAAACACACACACACATACACACACACACACACACACACGCACACGCACACGCGCGCACACACACACACACACACATACAAACAAACACACACACACATACACACACACGTGCGCGCACACACACACACACACACACACACACACACACAAACAAACACACACACACGCACACACACACACACACACGCACGCACGCACACGCACGCACACACACACGTTTCTATGGTTATATTGTGATTTCTTAGTAAATATTCTATTTGGTGAGAGATAAACTTTGTTGTATTTATCCTATTAGCCAAACTAGCTAACGTTAGCACCACTAAGCTCCGCGGACATAAACACTACTGAGTTTCAATTCTAAATGCCGTCTGCCAGCCTACCGCAGCGATGGACTGCTAATTTAATTTAAATCCCTTCGGGGGAAGGTTCTGGCAGATCGAACCGCCATGTTTAAAGCAACTAACGTTAAAAGAGCCGTCTCGTTTTGCCAAGCAGCCATCTTAGCTTCTCAATGACTCAAAGAAGGAAGTGACATCATCCTTCCTCCTTCTCTGATTTGCTCTCACAAAAAATAACTCCACCCGCACTGTAGAATAGAATAGAATAGAATAGAATAAACTTTATTGATCCCACAGTGGGAACATTCACCTGTTACCGCAGCACCAACACTTAAGGGAATAATTAGAAGATAAATAATAACAAAGGTACTTGTATTTATACACGTAGGCAGTAATCTAGTACTGTAACCTTCTAATGCTAAAACCACAAATAAGAACGGAAAAGACGTGAAAACTGCACCATGCAGCGTACTGCAGTAGACACAGACATCCGGTAAATCAAGTATTGCATATGCATCGCCCTCTCTGACGTGTTTTGTTCCAGCTGCTTCACTGAAAGCTTTCCCAGCTTCCCTGAACACCATTTCACCCAGACGTTCCTCAGGATGGCTGCAGATACACTCTTGATGGATTTTCTTACTGAATGTAGCATGAGCTGTCCAACCTAAGACGGGATGCCCAGAGTTTATGTTATACTGAGGAAGAGACCCAGATACAAACCCAGTTCCTGGGTTCTACAGAACCTGATTCTGGGTCGCTGGGGGACCGTATAAGGGTGTGAGGGGAGTCCACTCATTCCTCTCCTTTCTGGTCAGGGTAAGACATAAAGAGTCTTATCAAACAGCCCAAACCCCTATGTAACGGACCGAAATGACCGTTTTCCACCTAAAAGTCATTTCCCCTCTCCTCAGCAACAACTAATCTGCATGAGATGTTGTTCAAGGTCATGCATTTGCTTCTAAACTGCTTCCTTTCCAGCCCAAGAGAAGAATGAAGACAAATAAATCAAAGAACTCTATTTTTAATGAAGCTAATCAAAGAGTTAGTCATTAATAAGATGTTGACCAATCTGTGAAATGACAATGTTATGATTAGTAAGTTTAATGAGTAATATGACTTTAATCTAGCTGCACTAGACACCCTGATCACACGAAAAAGCATGACACATTGTTTACTCATCCAATCAGAACCTTCCTTTCTGAAGCGTGGCATAGTCTCTGTGGTGTTTATAAATCTGCCAACTTTGATTCGACCATAAATCAAAACATCCAGATTAATAAAACCAGTCCCACGCCATCTTAGTTCAGTTCACCGCATTCTAAGAGAAGTATCGGACCGGCCACCCGGACTTCCTTTTTAAGCAAAGAAGCAACAAGCTGGATAAAATCTGTTGCATTTTACCAACCAAGCAACGGTTCCTTTCAGAATAAAAGCTGAACTCACTGAACCAAGGGGGTCCATCTGACGCTTTCAACCAGCTGTCGCTTTTTACCTGGAGTCAATCCAAAGACTAGTCTGTCGTACTGCTGACGCTGTTTCATCGGCTCCGGTACCGAAGGGGGGTCTGAGGACCTGGCATTCTGGATCTGTATGGAGGTCTCATCCTAAGGGTATGTGTGGAGCGACAAGATGGCGTCTCATGTGTTTATGAAACTCCGATCATAGCTTTAGAGCAAAACATCACTTCATCACTCAGACTTGCTTTTCCGGATACGAGAGTTCTGATGACAACATCACTCACACATACACCGTCCATCTCACGTCTCATTCACACCATTCACTTAGAGTTTAGAGTTAGTCTTGTTTAAAATTGTTTAGAAATAAATCTTCTTAAACATTTTAAAGGTGACTCTCTCTTCTCTAGTCTCTCAGTTAATACGAAGTGTTACATAATCCCTGCAATAAAAAGTTCCACTCTTCTGGTTAAAAGTACCCAAAGGTCCATAAGATTGATTTCATATTTACTATGGAATCTTACGTCTTATGGTTCCTTAAATAGATGAAAATTAACCCGTTACACCTACAAGAAAAACAGCGATGGGGCAGCAGGTCCTGGTTTTGAGTCTGAACAACAGTCAGAACGGGAGGATGAAGCCTCATGTGAAACAGGAGCAGGTCACATTTCACCATTTGGAAACATCAACCTCCAACTTAGTCCAGATCAAAATGAAGATGTGATCCTGGTCTTGAATCAAATGCAGTCCAACAACATCCAGAAGTATGTTCAAGCCCCACTGGCTAGACTGCAGTCCTAACCCTGACCCTAACAGAACCTGGTCCAACTAACGAGAACCAAAACTGGTTTCAGAGACCCGACAGTTCCAGTCAGTCTGAACATCAATCAGCTGTTGGGATGATGTAAAATCCCAACAGAGGAAAACCATAACCTGGAGAAGAAGCAGGAAGACAGGCCGGTGTTTTGGACCCACCCTCGGAGATGTAGACGCTGAAAGGACTTCTGGGGATCTGCTGCTCAGCGAAGGTGACATAGATGGTGTGATTCCCCTCCAGGACAGGTGCATAGGTGCAACGGAATATGCTGTCACCTCTGTTCTCCAGGACGATCTGCACGGTGTCCCTTCGGCCGTTTGAGTCCACAATGACGATGCCCACGTCTCCGGTACCAGCCCCTGATGGACAGACAGGAGGACTTTAAGCCATTCGGATCACAAACATGTCCCTCAGTATTATATCCCTTCAAACACCAGGATCACCTGCGGTGTAAATATCAAAGTACGAGAGTTTGTTGGCCACGTTCCCAGTCGGTTGCAGTCCCGGCCCGCGGGCCTGCACCCTGGTTGGATCACCCATGGTCTTAGAGACATTTACTACGAAGGGGCTTCTGTCGATGTCCTGCCCAGCAAACAGCACCTTCACCTACAAAGAGCAGGAAACCAGAAGATGTTGAAGGTTTTGGATCAGCACCATTGAACCCAGATCAACATCCTATAGCTACAGCAGGTACGACCACCACTGTTACTTCTTTCTCTTGGTCAGACAAACGTTGTGGTTTCTAAACCGTTTTTTCCATACCTGCTACGAATGCCAGCATATACAACATAAAAGGTGTTTCTTGATTAGGTGGACCTTCACGATGCTGTCATCAAACCCTGAAAACTTCTGCCTCCTGAGCAGGGTCTTTCTCCACCCGGTACCTGATACCCATCTAGATCTGGTCTGGATAAGTTCTAACTGGTGGAGCATTCTCACCTTATGGAGCCCCTCCACTTTGGGCAGATACACCACAGAGTAGGTCCGGTTCTTGTCGTTGTTGGGGATCACTCTGGCCTGACGGAACCAGACATAAACATGAAGTCCAGCCACGGTTCTGATGTTAATGGACTGTGTGTTGACTCAAACCTCTTCTGTGTGTCCTTCTGGATCCTCCACGTAAACCAGAACCTCACCCATTCCAGCCTCCACAGTCTCCACCAGAAACTCGGCTGGTTTCAGAACCGTGTTTCCTTGAGGTTCGATACCTTATGGAGGAAGAGACAGCCGTGACTTCCCTCTGGTTAGGAGCCACGATTTATGAAATTTTAGCTGTTTTACATGTTTCAAAATAAACATTTCAATCTAAATTCAGAATAAAAATAACACAAAAGCTACTTGGGGAATAATCAACAGTGTGACTAATAGAGAGAAAACAAAATCCAGTATTCCAAATCACTTTGTCAAGGACAAAAAAGATATTTAAATAAAGCTTTGATTGATTGATTGATTGATTGATTGATTGATTGATTGATTAGTGATGATAAAGAAATCACTGATGAGTTTAATGATTTTTTTGTAAATGTAGGTAGGAGTTTGATGGAGAATAAACCAATAGTAGAAGATAAATTGACCACAATGATTAGTACTGTCAATAGTATTGTCCTTGACAAAGTAGATAAAGAAGAAATACAAAACATTGAAAAAAAAAACAGTGGAAACAAACGATCAACCGATTATCAGGACCTGGACATGATAACTGTTAAAACCTGTCATTGAACCATTCACTTACATTTGTAATCTACTGGAAATTTTCCTGATGCAATGAAAACAGCGAAAGTCATTCTTTTGTACAAGAGTGGTGATCAACATAGTTTCAATAATTACAGGCCGGTGTCACTGCTTCCACAGTTTTCTATAATATTGGAAAAAGTATTTGGATCAAGGTTGGATAAATTCATCAAAAAAAAAATTTTAAACAATGAACAATACGGGTTTAGAACTAAACATTCCACAGCAATGGCAATAGGTACTCTGCCAACAAACATTCAGGGGATATTTGAAAAGAGAACCAGTAACTACATGCTGAAAGAAACTGATGCGTTTACAAAACCCAGATTTAGAACTAAAATTAAGGAGTGGAATATATCTGTAAATGGTGTTAAATTATGGAATAACCTTATAAGGGAAATTTTAAAAAACTGTCATTTAATATTTTCAAAAATGTACCAAATGTCTCGATACGAAGATGGTTAGGACCCAAAATGCAGATATCCCAGGATGACACGAGGCAGGGATGAAGATTGAGAAAAATACTTTATTTTAAGGTGAACCAAAAACAAAAATAAATCCAGAAGGCTGGAAGCCAAAGTCCAAAAATCCAGATAACGATCTGGAGATCCAAAAACACTTGAGACACGAGAAGACCAAGAACACTAGTAATCCAAGAAACGAGACGAGACCGACAGAATAACATCACAATGGACCGACACAACACAGAGACAAGACAGGGCTTAAATAGACTGGGAGGAGCAATTAGGGAAACAGGCAGCAGGTGTGTGGAGTGAGGGCAGGAGGGAAGCCGGTGAATACAATTAACTAAATGGGGAACAGAACCAGAGGAGGGCAGATAAACCTAAAACTATAAAACACAAAACTAAACCTAAAGACTGAGGGAAGGACTCACCCACACACACAACACTACACCGGGCTGGGGAAGGACACACACACACACACACACACACACACACACACACACACGCACACACACACACACACACACACACGCGCACACACACACACACACACACACACACACACGCACACGCACACACACACACACGCACACACACACACACATACACACACACACACACACACCGTGTTAGGGATTTTTGTACACACACGCAGACCCCCCCACAAAGTTTAAAATGAATCTATGTGTGTCTGACACATGGTAATTATAAATGAATTGATTATTTCTACTGGAAAAGGGGGCAGAAATTAGATGTTTTTCTTCATTCTGCTCCTTTTTGTTCAAATTTGATTTGTTGTTATGTATTTCTTATTGTTTATATGTTTTATTTGTTTTTATTTTGAATGAAAGAAATGAAGAAAAAAATGTGTTCATCTAATTATCAGGTAGTAAGATTTGGGGGCTCGTCCGGGATTAGTGTAACTTTTCTTTTTGTAAAAAATACTTGAACTAAAAGAGGTTGGGATGTAGTAGATCTTTCCAGGTTTTGTTTGGGCCATAACATGGAACAGACACTGAACCTACATGTTTAGATGGTTTCATTCAAAATCAACTGTTTAGAAAGCCTCGACCAAACGAGCAACGATACAAATGGTGTTGTCTGCACCCAGAGGTGCACCCAGGTTCCCTGTAAGGACCTGCACACCAGCCTGGCCAGCTGGGGTGCAGTGGGGCGTGACTAATGCCTCTGAATAGAAGCCAAATTATAAATAAAGATTATAAATTAAAAAGAAAAAAAGAATCAACAAACGTCAGGAGAGCAACGTGAGCTGTTGAAATTTTGAAAAAAAACAAAACTAATTTTTGCTGAAAATGTTTTATGGCTTTTCATTGATTTTAAATGGAATACAAAAAAAGGTAAATAAATCAAGTTGAATCATTTGAAAATGATAAAAATTTGAGTTAAAAGAGTCTCAAACGTGGGAGAGAGTAGAAGCAGCTCTGAAACGTTGCAGAACATTATGTCCATGCTTGGATTGCAGGCTGTCAGAAGCAGACAGAACCCCCCCCCCCCCCCCCCCCCCCCCCCCCCGTCGATCTGAATGAAACGATTCAGACTCAAACCAGCTTCAGAGTTTTCTCATTGTGATGGGAGAACACAGAGCTGCGCGACCTCCATCCTCTTCCTCCTGATGGCCTCTCCTCATCAGGTCCGTCTTTTTGTTGATCTTGTGACGAACCTGGCGACTTCTACCCTGAGAGGCGCTGTATACAACCCCCTGGCTCAGAAAAGCAGTTTACTGAACAAAACAGGATCTGAAGCAGAAATGTTGTAAAAATCCGGTTTAGAGTGACAAAGATGCCTGGATTTAAATGTCAGCTACAGGAGGAAGAGCTACTGCTGAGGAGGAATTCACGTTTCACCATTCTGACGTAACCAACCACCTCTAGAGAAGTCCCGTTAGTCATCACACTCTAGGGAAATTTGTTCTCCGCATCTGACCCACCCCCTGGGGGGGCACGGTTGCGTTCGGGAACGACTTGATGGTTTAACGTTGGGGCAGCAGTGACTCGGGAGGTACTGGGCTGGGCAGCAGTGACTCGGGAGGTACTGGGGCTGGGCAGCAGTGACTCGGGAGGTACTGGGCTGGGCAGCAGTGACTCGGGAGGTACCGGGCTGGGCAGCAGTGACTCGGGAGGTACTGGGGCTGGGCAGCAGTGACTCGGGAGGTACTGGGCTGGGCAGCAGTGACTCGGGAGGTACTGGGCTGTCCAGGAATCTGAAGGTTGCTGGATCGATCCTGGCAAAGAATTCTGCTGTTGTGTCCTAACCCAAGACAGGTAACCCACCTGCCTGCTAATGGTGGTCGGAGGAACCGGTGGTGCCTGTGCTCGGTAGCCTCACCTCGGTCAGTGAGGCCCGAGGCAGCTGTGGCTACATCGTAGCCCATCACCTCCAGAGAGTGTCTGTGTGAATGGGTGAATGATTCACTGTTGTGTAAAGTGCTTTGGAGTCTGACTCTGAAAGGCGCGGTACAACTGCGGGTCATTTATCTTTTCTCATCCCAATCAAACCATTTAAAGGTGTGGATTAGTCATAAAATCAATACAAGTGCAGCGGTCTCAGGTAGGAATGATTACCTGTCAGGCAGAACTCAGGGCACAAAACAGCCCACAACCCCTGGCTCAGTCTGGGACTGGGGCGCACTGACAGATGCGAGGCTGCCGAGCACAGGCACCACCGGTCCCTCCGATAACCACCAGCAGGCAAGGTGGGTTAAGTGTCTTGCCCAAGGACACAAGGCTCTCTGTCCGGAGCCGGGATCGAACCTGCAACCTTCCGATTACTGGACAACCCGCTCTACCTGTTGAGCTACTGCTGCCCGAGTCTACCACTGACTGTTTCTCTACAACGTTGAGGTTTTACCTCCACAAATAACACAAGCCTGGAGGAGTTCTGCTGTGTGGTGGAGCTGCTAATGCTAATGGTTAGCTTCTACTAGTTGACATGTTTTCTGCTGTTTCCTGGACGCTAAACCAACAACAGCCTTCCCCGTCATGAGTCCAGATGGGTGAGTCCATGAATGTTACTGACAGTGTGACGTAGATCTGTCAGGATTTTCTATGCTAGAGTTTCACCGTCTGTTTTCTATCAGCTACTGCAGGAGATAGGTGTAGGAGACTATTATCTACCAGAAGCTACTGCAGGAGATAGGTGTGGGAGACTATTGTCTACCAGAAGCTACTGCAGGAGATAGGTGTAGGAGACTATTATCTACCAGAAGCTACTGCAGGAGACAGGTGTAGGAGACTATTGTCTGTCAGAAGCTACTGCAGGAGATAGGTGTAGGAGACTATTATCTATCAGAAGCTACTGCAGGAGATAGGTGTAGGAGACTATTATCTACCAGAAGCTACTGCAGGAGATAGGTGTGGGAGACTATTGTCTACCAGAAGCTACTGCAGGAGATAGGTGTAGGAGACTATTATCTACCAGAAGCTACTGCAGGAGACAGGTGTAGGAGACTATTGTCTGTCAGAAGCTACTGCAGGAGATAGGTGTAGGAGACTATTATCTATCAGAAGCTACTGCAGGAGATAGGTGTAGGAGACTATTATCTATCAGAAGCTACTGCAGGAGATAGGTGTAGGAGACTATTTTCATGTTCAGCCTGCATGAAACACTCAGAGTGACCCGTTAGAATCAGACATAATCATTAATCATGGGTGCTTTGTGTGCCACATCGATGAAGCTGAGTGTCAAGTGGGGAGGATTTGTCTCCCGGTTCCAAAGTCTTTGGTATGACCCGATCCTGGACTTGAGCCCATGGTCTCCCAGCCTCAGGGTGGACACCCATACCACTCTGCTCTGAGCAGAATAGACAATCAGACAATCGTTTAGAGCACTGGGTGGGCATTAGCGGCACAGCTCTGGAGTGGTTCAGGTCCTATTTGGCGGGGCGAACATTTTGTGTCAGTCTCGGTGACTATGTGTCGTCCTCCGCTCCGCTCTTGTGTGGTGTCAGGCAGGGCTCAGTTCTAGGCCCCCTCCTCTTCTCTCTGTATCTTCTTCCTCTCGGTTCTATACTGAGAAAGCATGGCATTGCCTTCCACTTGTATGCTGACGACTGTCAGATCTATGTCCCTCTAAAGAAAAAAGGCAGAAACCTCATACAGCCATTACTACAGTGTCTTGACGACATAAAGGCTGTGATGTCTGAGAACTTTTTTAAATTCAATGATAAAAAGACTGAGGTGATGATTTTTGGTAGTCCTACTGAGACCCCCAATGTGTTTGCAGATTCCTTGGCCCAGTTTGTTAAACCAACTGTCACCAACCTGGGGGTCAAAGTGGACTGTGATCTGAAGTTTGAACATAAGATTAAGGCGGTGGTAAAATCGAGCTTCTTTCACCTCAGGCAGCTGGCAAAAATAAAGCCAATTCTTTCACGGCAGCACTTTGAGACGGTGATCCACGCCTTTGTAACCACTCGGCTGGATTACTGTAACACACTCTACATTGGGGTCAGTGCATCTTATATTAGTCACCTACAGAGGGTGCAAAATGCCGCAGCTCGTCTTTTAACTGGCACTCGAAAGTTTGAGCACATTTCCCCTGTTTTAGCTTCACTTCACTGGCTGCCCATTTCTTTTAGGATTCATTTTAAAGTTCTTTTATTTGCTTTTAAAGGTCTTCATGGCCTCGCCCCCTCTTATCTCTCTGACCTGATACAGCCTTACACCCCCTCCTGCTCTCTCAGGTCTGCTGATCAGCTGCTCCTGATTGTACCCAGGACTGAGCGTAAACTTAGAGGAGATCGCGCTTTTGCTGTTGCAGCTCCAAAACTGTGGAACGAACTTCCTTTAGAGATAAGACAGGCCAGTTCCTTCTCTGTTTTTAAGGCACTCCTGAAAACCCACCTCTTTACCCTGGCTTTTCATACCTTGTGAGATGTTGGTTTCTATTTTTTATTTTTATTTTAGCTGTTTTAGGTGATTCAATGCAGTTTTATCAAGTTTTATCAAGTTTTTATTTTTTAATATAGGGCTAGTTTAATTTTATGTATCATGTGTTTTATTTATCTTTGCTGATTTCTGTCTAGTCAATTGTTTTAATGTACTCTCTGTACAGCACTTTGTTCCTGTGCTGGGTCTTTTAAAGTGCTTTAGAAATAAATTGGATTGGATCAAGTCTAGATTGACAAAAGACAAGCAGCAGAACTGGGTCTGATGAACAAGAACCAAACCTGGGGACAAAAATTGCCAAACTATCCATCCATGAAAGATTCAGACGCAGAAAACAAAGCTTTTCAGCATCCTCCAAAATAAAAGTCTGTTCCAGAAGCGATCAGACGCTCACATGAGGACAAACCGCTGACTGGTATGTACCTGGTCCGTAAGCTTTGGCCCTCCTGGGGTGCAGCGTCTTGGCCCTCAGCGGGGCTCCAGGCTTCAGCTTGGCTTTGGGAAACTGAGACAGGTAGGTCATGACCGAGTGCTCGTCCACGTTCGGGTCAACGATCTCCTCTGGAGCGATGACCTGGAGGTGAAGACAGTTTGTTTGTTCCAGAAAAATCAAACGAAATCAGCGTCCAGAGGAAGTTTTACTGAGAAGAGGAAGACAAACACAGCTGCTTGTCCAAAGGGCCAGGACACTTTCTTTTCAAAATAAAAGCATCTGAAATAAACTCATCACAGGGGACAAACAGGTGTCTTAAGTTCCTGTCGAAAGTAACGATCTGGTTCCAACTCTCTGGAAACGGGTTTCAGCAACCGGAAAATGGTTGTTAAGAAAAAGTGGGCGGTACCTGTGGGACTCCCAGCCAATCGTCTGCCTGCTGCATGGCCTCCCGGGCATTCTCCACTGGCTGACTGGGATCCCATGTTTGCCAGTCCGGACACAACCCTGAGGGAAGCACACAGTTCATCAGGAAACAACAGCGCCGGCCCAGTGGGCCCTGGCCCGATCACGGCCTGACCGAGGTTACCTCAGCACTAACTCAGAGCCGGGGTGGACAACTCCCTTCCTCGAGGCCGGTATCCAGCTTGTTTTAGTTGTCTCCCTCCTCCAACACACCTGACAGCAGGTCGTTACCGGGCTTCTGCAGAGCCCGGAGAGCTGCTGGACAGGCGAATCAAGCGTGTTAGAGCAGGGAGACAACTAAAACATGCTGGATGCCAGCCTCAAGGAAGGGAGTTGTCCACCCCTGAATTAGAGAAATGGAATTTCATTGGTCGTTGGTCTCCAAGGCCCCTCCCCCAGCACCTTGCTGTGAGTCAGTTGGTGCTGAAAGAATCAGGTTTTTGTTGCTTTGATGAATTTTGATAGAAAAACTGATTCTCTGGTTCTAGATCGGTTCTAAGAGCGGTTCCTACCAGGGGCGCAGTTGTCCACCAGCGCTCCCAGCGCCTTCCCATCCCTCCAGTCCCGATGGAAGTTGGTGATGGGCAGCTGTGGAACCTTGTTCTGGATCCAGCCCAGCAGACGCTGCTTTGGGGTCAGTTTCCTGACGTCTTCGTCGTCTTCATCCTCCCACATGGGCATGGAGATGGAGTAGTGTAGGATCAGGGTCCAGATCAGACCCAAGATCAGCTTCAGGTTCCCATCCACAATGGCCTTGGAGTCTGGAGGACAGAACCCAAGCACAGAGTCAACAGGGCCGCTAGAGCTGGGTCCAAGTCCTGGTCCAGTGACCAAGTAGAACCGGTCGGGTTCTGCACCTGTAATGGACCAAACAAACGCCCTGAAACATTTTCTTTTGTCATTCTAGACCCAGTTCAGAACGGACTCGGTTCTGCTGGATGTTTTTGGTCCAAGCCTGTTTTAACTGGGTGCGGAGGCGGGTCGGGATAATTCCTGGAAGTGGAAGGATAACAGGCTGTGACCCAGCTGGAGAAGAAGATCTTTTATACGACGCCTCTCAAGATGAAAATCACGAGGAACTTCACACACAAAAAACTATTTAAGTATAAAAACATTTAAAAATGATTAAAATATGTTTAAAGGAAACAAATATGTCAGGAAAAGGAGAGAAAGAGAACAGGAAAGAGGGAAATCAGTGGATCCCGGGAAAGGAGGAACAAGGAGAGGGAGGTG